ATTAGCTTTCTTGCTATATTTTGAAAGAAAAAAAAATAATAATAATAAATAAATAAAATAAAATATTCCCCCCCATGGGTGTTGTATTGTAATTGTAAACTAAATGTAATGTTTGGTTCTGTTCGAACAGGATGGTGAATTCGTGTACAATCCTGATGATTTTCCTCCTCTGAGACCGATTTGCGCAGCTCCTGAATTAGACAACGGAGTCGAAGAGGTATGTAAACATTTTCCCCAATTCCCCCACTTGTTTATTCGTGCATATACATGCGATAACTTGTCCACGCTTATTCATGACGTCATGCCTGTTATTATTGTCCAGCGATAAAGCGCTTAAGACAAGTCTGGACATGCCGACACTCCGTCGTTGTCTTTTTGATCGTTTATTTGTCGGTACACGAATGAAAACCTACGGCCGCTCATACACTGTCGGTTAAGCACTGGCATGTGTCCCTCACAACCCGTTTGATCTTAGTCGCAATCACATCTGCTCTATCTACCACGTAATATCCTTTTAATATTTCATTGTATCTTGTACTGTTTGTTTTATAGACTCCTTTTGAAGTTCCGTCGAAGCGCAAGAAGATGAAGAGAGTTCTAGGTGTGCACGAATGTTTAGTCTGCAATAAAACATTCACTCGCAGAGATGCCCTGCGACGACACAAGACCACCCACACCACAGTCAAATCTGTATCCTGCCCAGAGTGCGGTGCATCATTCCGGCGCACCGACAACATGAAACGCCATAGGTGTTCTCAACACCAGCAGCGCACCGATCCTGCAAGGCCAACATCATCAGCTACTACTGCACCGCACAATCGCAGCGGTACTTCAAGACCAGAACCCCCAGTCCAGCCTACAGATGGTGCTCATCATCAGCCGGACGACCAGCCTGGATGCAGCCATTGGCCCGACCCAGCCACGCTCGCCCCTGCTCATCCCATCGCCAATAGCAATCAGCAGAGTATGACAGCTCCTCCGCCCGCCACAGCCCCAGCCCCAGCCCCCACCAGTGACAATCCTCGCAAATGCCCCGGTTGCGGTAAAGCTTTTCCTCTCATTGAATCGATGCATCGCCACTACGCCAGAGTACACACCGGCCAGAGACCGACTCCGCCCTCCCCACAACCCATCGATGATCGATTTGAGGAAGATCCTTTGGTTTACCCAGAGGGTGACGAGGATGACTTGGGCCTAACTGACATTATTCGGGACAACTGGGAGAGTATTCGTGCCTTCCAGGTTACGGGTCATCCAGTAGAGGACATTTACAACATTCGTGTCGTGCAGTCATCTAAAAACCACAGAAACACTGCCCAGAAAATACTCAGTAATCTGACAGACCACGAGCAGTTGATCAACGTCTCGTTTGGAGCTATTGTGCGCCATGATGAGACGGGGGAGCTCCGTTTCTTCGATGCAGACTCAGTCAGATTTTTTCCAACACCGGTGTCTTTTGACAGTCACTTCCTGGAACAGTTTGAGGATGAAGTCATTGCCGACTTTGTTCGTGGACATTTTAAAGACTGGTCGCTGGTTGCCCTCACCAATATTCGCCTGTTTGTGCGTCATGCCCCCGACCCCCTTCGAGATGACCCCGAGGAGTTCCCCGCAGAAATGGAAGTAGACGACGACGAAGTCGGCCGTGTGTACAGAAACAATTGGGCCGCTATCCGGACCCATCATCGAATCGGTCGGGTGATTCAGGACATTTATAATATACGAATGGATCGCCCTGAGGCTTCATTCATGCGGATCATGAATGGAATATTTAAGAAACTGACATGCCGAGTGAAGGTCAACCTTTCATGTGGATTCATCTTGCGGCACAACGAAACTGGTGAGCTGCGGTATTTCCACCCGTCTCATAACAATGCGAAACTGTTTTCTATTCCATTTACCATCGGCAGCCAGGGAGATATGGACAGTTTGATCGAGGCTCTGGAAGCATTGGATGTTGTGGAATATGCCCGGCAGCAACGCCCAGACACAAAATGGACGGTCGTGGTGCTGACCAATCTTGCCGTCTATGTGAACAAAATGCCGCAGTTCTACATTGGAGCTCCACCGCAAAGCCTACCTGACTTTGTCAAGAACAATAGAGGTCTCCATAATCTTACACACAATCCAAACAATTGGCAAAGATACAACGATAATCTTTGCTTTTTCCGGTGTCTGGCGCTGAACCGAGGGGCGCCTCTGAGGGGGTTGGAGAGGACAACCCAGGATCTTGCCGAAACTTTCCAGCGATCTACGGGGAGACAAATCAGCCGGGGTGTTACAATGGAAGACCTAAGTGAAGCCGAGCGAATCTTCGAAGTCACAATTCAGGTCTACAGCTTGACGCAGGTGGACAATGGTGACGACCGCCAACAGACCAGGGTACACCTCATCCGCCGCTCTCATCGACGATATGCCGCCAACCTCCACCTGCATCTGTTCCAAGAACATTTTTCGTACATTTTTGACTTAAATAAATTCAGTCAAACGTACGAGTGTGAAAAATGCAGAATGATTTTCAACAGATCATCCAACCTTCAACGTCATGTACCCACATGTAACGTTAATGTAAAACACAGATTCCCCGGCGGTGTGTACAACCTACCGGATACAATTTTTGATAAGCTGGAGGAAGCAGGCATCGACGTCGAAGAGAACTTAAAATATTACCCCTACAGGGCGACCTACGACTACGAATGCTACTTCGACAACGTGGATCAAAATGGCGGCCAGGAAAAACTTACATGGTGCAATCGCCACGAATTGCTTAGTGTCAGTGTCGCCAGCAATGTCCCGAACTTTGACTCCGCGAGATGTTTTGTGAGTGATGGTGACCCCGCAAGTCTGGTGGGGCGTATGGTGAACTATCTCCACGAAATAAGCGAGGCGGCATTCATCAATTTGACCGAGAAGTTCGAGGATGTTTTCAGCCGTATCCAAGAACTGGTCGAGCTCCAACAGAACCAAGAGGGTAAACAACCGCGGGCACGAGATGACACCGCACCAACCAAGAAAGTAGCTGCGGAGAAATTGCGGGAGGAACTGGAGCACTATCTTGGTGAACTTCCCGTGATCGGCTTCAATTCAAGTAAATACGACTTGAATGTCATCAAAAAACACCTCTACCAAAGACTGAAGGAGGCCGGCGACCCTGTGGAGATGGTCATCAAACGAGGTGGGAGTTACATGGCCCTGAAAACCAAGAAGTTGAAGTTCCTTGACATCTCTAATTATCTGGCACCCGGGTACTCCTACGAAAAGTTTCTAAAAGCATATGACTGTGCACACGATAAGGGTTTCTTTCCGTATGAGTACATGACAAACCTGAACAAGCTTCACGAAACTGCACTGCCACCCCACGAAGCGTTTTTCAGCACACTGAAGGAGACAAACATCACCGAGGAGGACTACCGTTACTGTCAGCAAGTTTGGCGGGACGAAGGAATGACCACACTGCGAGACTTGCTAGTATGGTACAACAACCTTGACGTGCTCCCGTTTCTGGACGCCATCCAGAAGATGTTCAACTTTTACAAAGAACGGCGTATGG